AAGAATCAAAACAAATGCAAAGTGCAAGCAAGTGCGAATTAGGAGCCAAGCTGTACAGACCAGATTCAAAGTAGACCAAAATGAATCCAAAACTACAAAATGAGCAAATACTGCAGTGTTAGTTGACACTACGTTCACACTGCAAGCTTCAGCACTCAATTCTGATTTATTGCTCAAAACTGATTTTTTTCCCCCACATTATTTTTTAAATGTGGCCCATATCACGGTCCTGAAAATACCCACATGATGAATGCTGATCGAGAGTGACGAAAAAGTCACATGAATTATGATATTACTGTTCACACTGCAGAAAATATGATCTGTATCTGATTTCAACCATACTATATGAAAGATCCAAATCAGAATTGAAAAGATTAGATTCCATGTGATTTGTGCTGTTATGAAAAAACAAATCAGCGTCATATATGAGCAAAAGAATCAGATTTGAAGTCACTTGTGCGTGTTGGCATTACTAGCACACATTAAGCAGAACACCATGCAAAACTATTCTACTCATTTCCACGTCATATCTTCATACAGAACTCTTTTGGATTTTAAGGTTTGGGAACAACTCAACTTTTAAGAGACATAAAGCATCGCTTAATTTGGTAACTGCATGACAATGGATAAACACATATGGATAAAACGCATGCAAACACACAAACACACACTTCTAGAATAAAAAGGCAAATGTTACAGCACACTCTGCATAATGGAAGAGAGAAAATGGGAGTGGAGGCCAACCTGCAGAACCTCCGCCTGATGTCTCAGCAGCGCCTGACTGGCTGGACCCTGCTGCTCAGTCACACACACAAACACACACGCACCCACACACATACATACATACAGAAAATGAAAAAGAACACATGCACACAAAGTCACAGGAAAACATCTAACTGATCTTGCAATGATACCGTGATGTGCGGAGAGCAAAAATACACATCGAAAGATAAAAACTGAAACCAAACGCTTCCGTCTAAATTAAAGCCAACGCAGGTTAGACACAGACTGAGACAAACAACACATGTAAGCTCTGGACACAACACAAGCAGAGGTTGATTCATGCAGTTCAACGGTAAAAAGGACTTGACATAAAACAAAGTAAAAAAAATGTACAATGTAAACAGAGTGTAGCATACAAAGAGCATTGATCATGAGAGAATGTTGGCAGCAAAAAAGTTTAAATATTTATATATATATATATATATATATATGTACATAAATAAATAACACACAAAAGGTAGGACATACGTTTTTCTGCAGCGTCGCCTATGATGATCTTTCCGCCTCTCTTGCTGGTCTTCTCCACGGACAGCGCCGTGCTGAGGCCCTGCTCGTGCTTCCCCAGGCCCTGACCTTCTTTGAAGCCATACTTCTGCATGATCTTATGAGCCACCGTACCTCTGTGGAAGCAGTTAGGGAGAAAAAGATGTATAATTTAAAAAGTGGAATTAATTTGAATACTAAGGCGGGTTCCCACTTTTAAGGAATTATTATCCAGGACCTTTCCAGGCCATTTTCTTGACAATACAGGACAGCACTTGCTCACAAACGGTAGGCTGAGTATTGACACATTTCATGCAGCTGATCCTACCAACTGTTGAGTTTTAAAACAAAATACACACCCAGGTTTATGTCGGTGAATGTGCTTTTTTGACAAAAATGTCAATCAATATTCAATCAAAGTGACTAATGATTATCTAATTGTAGTGTGTTTCCGTGTGTCTGCGTGTGTGTCCTGTTCACCCCATGTTGGCCAGGAAGGAGCTGGTTGGTCCAGGCGGTGAACGTGGCCGGTCTGAGTCCTCAAACATGGGCGGAGGGATGGCGGCCTTTGAGCCTCTGGCAGGGCGACCTTCATCCTCGTATGCGAACGGGGATGAGCCTAAAAACATGGAAAAACACAACCAGTATTGACATGCACCGAGGAGGAGAACAACCAGATTTGATTTTTCAGCCTAATTTATTCAGTTAAATTTCTAATGATGAACTAATGATGGTACTGAAGCAAAAAACAACAACCTGGTTACTAAAGACTGGCTTTGTTTTTCCCTCCTTGCAATTTTACACTGACATTTACAATCTTACAGACACTACAACCAATAACGGAGACGATGCTTCCCTCTGCTGTAGACACACTGCCGTCACTGCTGCTAATTTAAGAGAATACTAACATCACTAACAGAGGCTGATAGTCTGTCTCTGGTCATCAAAGTTTTATTAATTACTCAATCACTATATATACGTTTCCTTTCCCTCTTCTTTTGACTCTTGAGCTGCTCTAACGAGTGAATTTCCCCAGTGTGAGATCAATATATTTATCTGATCTGATCTTAAACCTCTCACTGTGTGCTCTGTTCTGTTCAGTTGATGTTTAACCTCTGGTGGGTCAGAAGACTTACCATCTCTGTCCACAAGTGAAGAAGGAGGGGCGATAGCTGCTCCACCCAAAGCTTGGAGAGAGACAGACAGATGATGCATCATGTTCAAGCATCAATGTATTAATGTAATCAGACATCGTGATTCTATGTTCCCACATTGTCATGTAATTCACGTAACATGTTTGATGTATTTTTGTTTCTCCCTTAAGTCCCTGAATGGTACATTATACTCTTGCAGTTGACCTACCTCTTAATCTGAGAGCAAATAAAAAGCATGTAAAATGCCTCGGGAATGGAGAATGTTTCTACTCACTTCGTTTCCTCCGCTCTTTCTCATAGTCCTCTTCCTCATCTGATTCTCCCTCTGCTGTGGGGAAGCGGGAGAAACCACTTGGAGCTCCACCATCATGCCTGTCTTTCCTCTTCCTGCAACACACCAAGTTCAAGCTTTAAACATGAGCCCCGTGCTTCTGTAAAAATCCAGTAAGGTATACTCCCTCATGTTTAATCCCTGCGGCTGTTTTTATTGGTTAGTGAGCTGAATAATCGAGCATGACAGTACTTCTCTCTCTCCTCGATCTCCTTCTGACGCTCCTGCTCCCTCTGCCGCTGTCGTTCTTCTCTGTGGCGCTTCACCACCTTCTCGTAGTCGTTGGGGAACATGGGATCGTACTCGTCTGCCAATGGGATCAGCACATCGCCAGAGGAGAAACCACTGGGCACGGCATCCTGAAACACACACACACACACACACACACACACACACACACACACACACACACACACACACGGGCAAGTCAAAAACATGACAGTGAGATAGAGAGAAAATCAAGCAGCTCGAAACATTTTAAGAGAGGGATTTAAAAAATGATGACTAGGTTCCTTGGATTAGGCAGACCTTGAGTCCAGCGGCAGCATGTGGAGGAGTGTCTGTGATCTGTCTTTCATCACTGGAGCCCCCTCTCTTTAGATCAATGACCGGCGCCAAGACAGTGGTCTGCTTCATCCGCTGGGTCTACACACATGACAGTAAAATCATTGCACATCATGTATTCATTGGGTTTATAGTGTGTCCTTGTTTATTTATATATTAATGTATTGCACACTTGCTGTGAAGTCCCTAATTTCCCACTAGCATGGTTACAGGTCACTCTATGTCACTTCCTCTCTCGGCACACCAGTATCAATGGAGTAGACTCTCTGCCTACCTTGGCCTGGGTCAGAGCCGCCTTCTTCACCTTCAGCTGGGACTGCAGCAACTTGAAGTTCTTGGACCAGCCTTCGGTCTTGGTGTCACTGGCACCCACACCGAGGTCATCATACAGTGACATTGTTGTCTGTCAGTACCTCCGTCTCCTACAGACACGAACACAAGATGTATTAGATACAATCAGAGCTGGCTTCAGGAGCGTCACTCCGTCGTGCAACACTTGTGTAGATATTGAGGTTGTAACTTAGCAGCACCCTTATTGAAACGCTGGCTCACTGTTTTGTGACTGAGTGGTTAATTCAATAAACGCAAAATGTGGAAATATCTGTCACGTACCTTTGCTATGTTTAGTTATTTACGTTAGCTTAGACCCCAGCAGAACCTGTCAATAATATAACAATTCATTTAGCTACCGTTAGCTAGTGCTAACACAGCTCCTTAACTGTCTGGTCTTATACGAATTATGTTTAAAACATACACATCTATGTAATTAGCTTGTTTTCAACCTACCGGTTTCAGAAATACCTGGGCATTAACTAATGTAAGTGCCAAACGTTATAATATAAAAAGGTTTAGCAGCACATTTGATATAGCGTTAGCTCCTCGCTGTGTGAAACGGAAGTAAAGGCAGCAACAACAACACGACAACGACATTTGGCTCCACCTAGCGGCGGGATGACCACTGAGCCCTTAGTTACACTTTAATGTACTCTAGTTACACTTTAATGTACTCTTGTTACACTTTAATGTACTCTTGTTACACTTTAATGTACTCTAGTTACACTTTAATGTACTCTTGTTACACTTTAATATACTATAGTTACACTTTAATATACTATAGTTACACTTTAATGTACTCTTGTTACACTTTAATGTACTCTAGTTACACTTTAATATACTATAGTTACACTTTAATGTACTCTTGTTACACTTTAATGTACTCTAGTTACACTTTAATGTACTCTACTTACACTTTAATGTACTCTAGTTACACTTTAATGTACTCTAATTACACTTTAATATACTCTCGTTACACTTTAATGTACTCTAGTTACACTTTAATATACTCTGGTTACACTTTAATGTACTCTAGTTACACTTTAATGTACTCTAATTACACTTTAATATACTATAGTTACACTTTAATATACTCTGGTTACACTTTAATGTACTCTAATTACACTTTAATGTACTCTAGTTACACTTTAATATACTCTGGTTACACTTTAATGTACTCTAGTTACACCATAATATATCCAAGTTACAATTTAATGTAGTCGCGTTACACTTTAAAGTACTCGTGTCCCTGTACCATAAAAACACAAATGCGTTTAAATGACGATGATGATGCCGCCGTGTAAACGTCAAAAATACCGTGCCATGGAACTACAAACATGGCGTCTACAGATCGATAATGCTCCACCCGTACCATAAGTTGTATGCCATAAAAGGCGGTGAAAGCGAAAGTTAAGTTACAGAACAGCAACAGGAGGAGTGAGGATGGCCTTGTCGGCCGTGGTTTATTCGGCGAACATGTTTTAAGTCTCCACAGAGCTCTCAGATGGATCTGGGTCCCCCTTCAGTCCCCGTCTGCGTTATGATGGTCTGTCTGCTCGGAGCTGCGCGCTTCTGCAGCGGCGGTAAGTGATATACACACAACAGTATGTTCACTACTGTTCAGGACTCTTCACTTCTTCACTGCTGTTTGCTCCAAACCCGGGCACTGCAAAATAACAATAGTAAAAACATTTACAAAAATTAACTATTCTTAAATTAGTTTTTAAATTGCTTTCACTTTCTCAAACACGAAACTCTGAGAGGATTTGCGCAGTCAGTTTCTGCAACTAAAAATGTAACAATTTAAACACATTCAAAAACACAATTCAGTGAGTACAAACTCTTAAGAAAATATAACAGCAACATTGTAATAATAAAATAGTGATATGCACGTGCATGTTTAAACTCACACATTTGAAGGAATTAAAACCAATTCTGTACTTCGGTAAACAGGAGATTGAGGAGATCCAGGCCTCTTTCATTTACATTGTATAAGCGGATATTTCATTTTCAGATTCGAGTGATGAGTTTTCAGGACAGAATACCGACCATTATTCGCTTAAAAAGATGTTTTCTTTTAACCAGCATGGTAAACATATTATGAAGTGTGTGTGTGTTTGTGGGGGGGGGCAAGTCACTGGCAGATAAATGTTTAAATTTACTCATTGAAAATCGTTATTCTGTGTCTGAAATCGACCAGCTACTTCCATATTCTACCAGCATTTCGCTGCTGGTGCTGTTGTGTTATTGATTAATTTAAGCATGTGCTACAATTTATAGTAAAAGGTAAAATATATACCTCACAAACAAGATTCAACTGAAACACACATCAGGAACTGCTCTGTAGTTCCTTGTAGGTCTTCTATTTTCTTCCTTTGCCATCTGAAACTAACTACTAAGGTCAACCATTACATTTCCTCTTGTTGTGTCTGTGTCAATCTCTGCATCCACATTTTAATTTTATTTACATGGTGTTGTTTTTATTCCAGTCAAAAGCAACTGTCAATGCCCAGAAATCCCCCAGCACAGTCTGACAGAACCTCCAGGGAGGACCTGCTTCAACATTAGCGACACTTTTCGCTACACATGTGTAACAGGTTACCTGAGGAAGGTGGGAACCTCAAATCTCATCAAATGCAAACAAACTGACCGTGGTATTGTAGAGTGGACAACGGCCAAACTGCAGTGCATACGTAAGATTTATTTGTTCTTTTTTCCTTTGCATCACTCACAAAATCCAAACTCTCTGAGGAAGGCAGTATACCTCTTCACCCAGTTAACATATTATATGTACAGAGCCTGAATCATATCTTCCCACCCAGCAACATATACCATCGGGGTTTTTCCCACCAATGGTAGACTCAGTGGGGGTTTGCCCTCTTGGATGCCCCTATGATAGATAAAACATGACTTAAACACGTTAAAAGTGGGTGCTAATTCTAACCCTGATTAAGCGGTTTCACCATAAATTCAAAGACTTGTGTGCAGCATCCTTGGAGCATGTGACATGTTTTGCTGTAATTTCTGATCGCGTTGCTTCTGTCCTCTCATCATCTGCTCTCTCTCTGTCTCGGAGTTTAGCGCAGAGGGGCTCTGACTACATGTAAATATAGGTTTGGGGTTTGATATCCCCTTGTTGAATCTGTACCCAGAATCAAATCTAAATTAGCAGCTGGTCTAATCCAACCCTCAGACTCAATAACGCCAATCCAGTTGAAGTCAGAAAGGAGAGTTGGAAGAAAAGATGGATCACCCACACTCTTGGCAGCACCAGCATGAATTAAGTCAGCACCTCCTGGGGCTTAAACGCCTCCTAAACCCTGAGAGGCAGCTCCAAATACGAACGTTAGGGAAAGCATCTGTATGTTACAAAAGATATTACACATAAACATCTATTTCCATACACACTCCTGTCAGCCTACCCCCTTGAGGAGTTCTAATGATCAACACAGAAAAGCACACTGGTGTCTTTATACTGTGCACAGCCACGCACATGTGTTTGTTTAAGTGTTTCTAATGATCCAAATCTCCTTCCTGAGTCTAGTGGATCAGTCCCTGTTCATACAGAGTATGTAACTTGGTGGAAGGGAGTGAGCACATACTGTGTGAGGATTGAAATGAGTCATTGCTCTTTTACAGCAGTTTCAAAATTACAGTGATTTGATCGTAAGGAGATGTGTATTCATGAAAACCTCTTGGGTATGAACTAGTATGCTGTCATTAACATTAAGTTCAGGAATTGAGCCTTCTGCATTTTGGTTGGCTCCATGTGGCGAGCATGGAACTTGAGTAATTCAGTATGCCTTCAAAATTAATTAGATTAACTCGCTCAAGAAATTTTATTAGTGCTACAAATGAAGGGAATAGGGTTTTTTTTGTGTCTGTGCAGTGATTTTTCTTGTCTCATGTACTACTGTCAGGATATAGTGAAAGTTTCAGTGAACAGGAACATGAACATTATACACACTCATATAGAAGTGTTTATGTTTGTTAACCCACAGAGAGAAAATCTGTGTTATCTTATGTACAAATATATGTGTATCTTAAAGGTCCAGTGTGTAATATTTAGGAGGGTCTCTCGGCAGGAATGGAATATAATATTCATAAGTATGTTTTCATTAGTGTATAATAACCTGAGAATAGGAATCATTGTGTTTCTGTTACCTTAGAATGAATTGTTTTTATCTACAGATCATGCCATGTTTCTACAGTAGCCCAAAAAGGACAAACCGAACACTAGCTCTAGATAGGGGCGTTCTCGTTGCAACCATAGTTTCTCCTTCGCACTTGGAACGGCATGGTGACGCGATCTGCAACTACATTGCTAGATGCCACTAAATCCTACACCCTGGTCCTTTAAGTACACATACATTAATACTCCATCCATTATCTATAACCACTTGTCCTTTGGAGGGTTGTCAACTGACATTAGGCGAGTATTAGGGTTATTATTCATAGTTTCAGATGATAAACAATTTCTTTCAATTTGTTGTTTTTCAGCTGACCCAAAGATAACCACAACAAAGCCACCAATTACCACAGTAACAAGTAAGTGAACCGTATGCATGAGAGGGAAATTATTGTTATCTATGAGCCAGAGAGAGGTATTCTTCACACCACATACCTGATTAATGTTGGTCTGATCTTGCAGTGGGTAACAATGGTATTCCCCATGACTCCACCATTACCACCACAGTCAGTGAGTTCTGTATTTGCATGAACTTTGAAGAAATACTAATAATAAATAAGTACCAATAATGAAACTAAAAAATCTACTGTCTAGATTAGATTCTGTCTAGATCATGTATGTTAGTACGGTTGTAGTGATGAACATTAGCAACTGATAGTAGCAGCAGTTGTGTGAGTAGTAATGTTAGGAGTTGTAGCAATAGCAGTTGTAGCATTAATGGTTGTAGGAGTTAGTTTTACTCAAGCAAAACTTATTATTGTTCTTTTTTTTTTACTTAAACGTACTACAAGGAGGTTATGGAGCGGTCTAAATTAAATATTGATCCCTCTATATGAGCTACATAAGCAAACAAGACCACCACTGACAAGATTGGCTATTTCTATATAGTAATTCTTAAAGCCTGCCAGATTTGGTTGAATTCCCCTTGAATTCAATGAGACATGGCGGTGGAAACACTACCGCTTTTGTCCACAGGGGCCGCCAGAATCAACACAAAATAAAAGTTCCTTGTTGCTGCTTTAAGTAAAAGTCACATTTTTGTGTAGAATACAACATAGCTCATTCAAATGGTCTGTAAATAAAACTTACTTTCGTACATGTTTACAATAGTTGTAGGATAACAAAATTAAATCCAACATGTCAGTAAATGACAACATGTATGATGTGTGTGATAGCACAGCTGGTGAGCCTGGTGGGGTAAATAGCAACTAAAGAGCCAAATATTTCCCCCAAGAGTTGGTGGAGACCAAAACAGAGGTAAATTAAGAGTATTGATAGTAATCTGATATGTCACTGTTGGGTTTTTAGCTAGCTTATTCTGCTGCCCCCAAGTGGCCAAAAAATCTGTTCATACTGCCTTAAAAGGTCAAAATATACAAATTCGACTTAGTCACAGTAATGAGAGTGCAAATATGAATGAGATTTTGATATTATAAATGCAAAATTTGATAAGTAGACCAGTCTGTTGGTTACTTCCTCCCTTTGTAGTAGTAGTAGTAGTAAAGGTAGTAGTATAATAGTTGTTCTGGTAGCTTTAATGGTTGTAGATTTAGCAACAGGACTTGCTCTGTAGTTGTGGTAGTAGTAGGATTAGTTCTTTTAGAAGTGGTAACAGCAGTTTTAACAGTGGTAATAATATTAAACAGACTAACACAAAACCTTGCATGCGTTTTCACCCTTTGCTATTAATTATGTGGCACATTTTATCCGAAAAATATCATGTCTGGCGTACTTACAGTACTTCTCAACTACTGTCCGTGCATGAGCAAAGACATCCATGCACCTGCATTTACCAAACCAAAGTATGAGTTTGTTTCCTTCCACAGTAGTTTTACAAATAGTAGTTGAAGAAGCAACAGTGTAGTAAAAGAGGTAGCATTTGTAGTAGTTGCAGATGCAGTCATGCTCTATGCAGTATTAGTAAAAGTACATTTCTTTTCTCATCAGCCGTCAGCACCACCGGCCTACAGATGACCCCGATTATAAGCACCTCAGCTTCAGTGACTGCAGAAACACGCAGTGCAGCACCAACCTCAACGTCAGATCACTCAGAGGGTAAATAGTTTACAGTCACACAGGCCACGCTGATTTTACAAACTGGGGGTGCTGAGGGGCCCATAGAGCACACGCACAAGAAACCTCTGCCTACCGAGCCGGCTAGAGAAGGAAAGAGTAGCAAAAATAGCAGTGAAGCAGAGAGCCAGTGAGGAGAGGGTCTGCACTGTAGCAAAGCAGGAGACCACTATCAGTCATTGTATCCAACATTATACATGTTTTAATATATCATTTCCCACTATAGTTATGTTGACGATATCAGTGTAACTGCATACAGTTTGAAATATTATAAATACAAATCTTTATTGAGGGTATGAAGGATATAGGAGCCATTTTTAATTGATAACCTTATAAAATATAACAAATACATGCGGTACGTAATTGTAAACACAGGGGTCGACCTAAAAATGAAACAACATAAAATGTTTAAGAAGGTTAAGACAATTAGAAATCCAAAATAAATTGATAATTTGTATCTTTTACTGTAATAATTATTACACCTTTTATGATTAATAAATATTGTTTAGTGTGTATGTTACTGACTTAGGCGCGAGTTTTCGTTATTGATGATTTGGGAGCTGAAACTTACGCCATCTTTAGAATTTTGACCTGAATTTTACTCGGCGTTATACACATTGGCGGTGGTCTCATCTGATCCGATTATAAAATATGGATCCTTAAAGCATAGCCAAAACAGTACAGAAACCTGGATGACATTGGGAATATCATAAGATCAATTATCCTTTATTGATGTACAACTCACACTGCATTTATCTTCCATATGCGAAACTGTTAAAGAGTAATTAGCCTACAGCAAAATCTTATTCAGTCTTTGTTTCTCTGCTGGAAAGGAGGAACTGTGAATGAGACCAAAGCAAGGGACGGAACAACACCAACCTCAACCACCACTAAGCCTTCAAACAGCACAATTAACCCTTATAAGTCCAACCAAGGTGAGCTTTGACACTGTCATTATATCCAATTGTAGCAGAGTATCCAAAGCATACAAGGAAAACACTTGTTGACTTTTTCTCTCTAATTAGCAGTACCTAGCAACCTGGCTGCGTTGATCGCCTGTGTTTCACTCGTGATCATCTGTGCTTTGATTGGAATCTTTTATTATAAATGGTAAGTTAGAAAAAAAAAAAGCATTGGTTTATTTGAGTAGAATGTTTTTGCAGCGAACAAGCAGTTTATCTGTCAAAGGTCTCAAAGTTAGTGGTTAACAGTTCTGTGCTGAAAGTGCATTTGGGGGGGAATTCCTGTTATCATTTGAATGGTTTTGATCTCATCACTGTTTTCTTTATATGTACATTAGGAGGTCCAGAAATAACATCCCACAGTACTCAGTGGAAGAACAGACACCCATGAATAATTTTCCATTAGCACCGGCATCATAGAAGCTTGTAGAGAGCAGCAGCTGTACTGGAGGGCATTGGGATCATCAATGAAGAACAGGTTGTTGCCTCCACACAACCCCTTTTGACGTTCTGTGGACATCGTGCTGGAGAACACAATGTCTGGCTTCACGTGAAATTTGCACTTTTTTTCTGAGCTTAAGACTTTTTGTAAAAGAAATGTTTGAACTGCACTTCAGGAACTTTAATATTGAAGACAATGTGACACAGCCTACTTCAACCCCTCAGGATATGTCCTTCCAACAAGAATTGCCTGTTCAGACAAAGTTCGATATAGCTTATCCTTTGCTCCTATAGAGCGCCATTATTGTCTGATTAAAAACACCAATGGGCCACACCTTTAACCAGGGTAAACATGTTCTCTCCTCACAATGAATAGGCACTGCAGTTCATTTCAGTCAGTTCCAATAGTTTTCTGTTGCTGTAAATACTCACCCCTAGTAAAATATTGTAATTTTTGCTCAAAAGAGCTTTTTCAGGGAATTATTCTGCCTTTTTAGAGATAATACAGTATTGGTAGCCTTATTTGTTAATGGTACAGTGTTGATTGTTCAATTAACAGCAGACTGTGAGGATTAAAAGGCAATAGCCTGCACTATAATTGTATCTATGTAAGTTAATTAACTGGAGAATTAGAGAGTTAAAGGGTTAAATTTCATGTTACACAATAATCATGAAAATATATTTAATGCTTTTTAAAATGGCACTTAAACATACTGAACGATTAGATTCATACAAAAAAAATGTATTTGAAAAAATTATCAGCAAGGTCTCTTTTCAAATATTATTATAATAATAAAAATAATTCGGGCTGCATGATATGGTAAGAACATCATGGGGCATTTCTGCAGAATTACAGTACCCACACATTTTATCTTGAGAATATAAACAGCCCCCAGGTTGGTAACTTCCCCACAGTCCAAGAATAAATATCAAGACAATGACCTCAACCCTGGTTGCACAGTCGTGTGGGTTTTTAGTAAGAACCACCACCGTCTGTGGTTTGAGTAATGTCTGATGTCAGTATCCAAACTAAGTAGTTTGTTCCTGCATTACTCAGATTCCGGCCATGAAGAAAATAATGGGCATTAATGCAGAAGGAAGTTCACCACCACACTGAGCCTTCATCTGCCATCCCATCTCCCCATAAGTGTCACTTTTAAAAAAATAAGATCTCTTCCTCTTCCCGTAATGTAAAATGCATGCCCCGATAGCAACTAGCTGTACACAGTATATATATATCCTATTTGTCAACTGCAAAGCTTTTCCATGTTGTGCAGCAATAGCATCCATTAGTAATCAGTGTATGATTGTATTATTGAAATGTGTATCTTTTTCTGAGAGCCCTGATATTTATGAACAACTGGATGTTTAATAGTATTATTTAAAAAATGCCACTGCTTTTCAATAATGTTGTTTTGTATGTCTACTTTGTTTTATAATGACCAGTAGGGGAAAAAAAAACCTCAAAAGAATGCTGAATTTTCCAATGAAAGCGAACAGTAAAGATGTGAATCACCTTATTTTCCTGGATTTCTTCTTGCTCTGCCCTGTTGATTCGTACGATGATGATCAGAACTGAGTTCACACATTAGAGTCACCTCATTTTGTTAATCTTCCCTGGAATGAGGGGGTTGGCTTCCCCAGTTTCAAAAGTATGTTACAAAAAAAACACTTGCTCAGCAACAAGTTCAAACAGAAGAGTTCCTGTTGTGTTCTCCTGACACTTTTCAGCAAAATGAATCTCAGAGCTGGTCACATAGTCCAGTGTAGATTCTAGTCATTATCATTAGAATAATAAGGTTCAGTTGTATCAGAGGGGTTGGTTGTCAGCCTCAAACATATATCTTCCTAATTGCCCTTGAACACTGTTAATCCTAAGTAGGTTTAATAATAATAATAATAATAATTCCTTCACATTTTGTCAAATGTACTGAAAAGCCTCTGTGGTGTTTCATAAGAATGTTTGACTGTCTCGCCAAGAGGCCAGTTAGAAGCAGCTGCTTGGCGGGAACACAGTTCAACAAGTTCCAGTGCAGTAGTTAGAGCAGTCATTGGCCTTGGTTACTTTAAAAAAAGCTCCTAATACACAGCTTTCAACTGCCAAAAAGTCCAAAAAGATTTGATTAGAAGAAAGACTTCACAAAATGTGGTTTTGTTGTTTCTTTTAACGTAAAAGTAGGAAAGTTGGCCAGAAGTTGTCCATTTTTTTTAATACGCACACACTTTTTTTTTGTCACACAATCACACTGTGGGTGCTGTAGGCTGTTAATTACCTTCATAAAGACTATCTCAATAGTTACAGTATCCAATTCCCTTTATCTGACAGAGAAAAATACAAAAACTCAAATTAAAACAGCTTGTAAAGTTTTCAGTCTGTGTGAGTGTCTGTAGGTGGAGGCCTGACAGTATTCCTCGCCCCGGTCAGCATTTTAAAAAGGGGACCTGAAAGTCCTTTTTCCCCCCTCAATGCACAAAAGAAGACCGTTTTATTTTAGGTCCTTGAAGTCAAGTGGCTTTAGATAATCCCCATGAACATCACGTGGTGGTCCACCGGGCGGAGTCTGCGTGGGATTGCAGCCATTGAGAGCACGTCGTCGGTCATGAGGAAGGCAGTTGGCCCGATGCGTGTCCACACACACCTCTCGCACAACGGGCCGCCAGCAGACACACCGTCAGTCTGGACAAAGGACAAAAGAGTGAGACTTAAAAACCACAGCAAGCGATGTCTCTGAATTGTTTTCAAGTTTCTGATTGACTTTTGACTAGAGACTTTTCAATACAACTTTCACAAAACGCTAACTGGCTAATAAAGGCTAACAGTAAATTCTAGGCTTTAAGCATAAATACAACATCTCAATGCCAAAACCTGTGCTGATCTATGTAAAACAAAAAGAGAAAATGGTATTTGGAAGCATTAGAAAATTGGTTTGTTATAACTTAGCAGGAGTTTGTTAGGTTCTTACGCATGTCATCTGTTGTTTGCGCATGATGAAGGCCGCTCCGGGTGTTAGGCAGTTGGGACAGTCTGTGACGCAGCACGGGATAGGCTCGCCCGCCTTCAGCGATGAGCCTGGCATCTCTGACTTCAGGAAGTACTCCTGGAAACGGCAGGAAGTTGAGGATGTGGTGGAGAGAGGCAAAGAGTTTACTGTACAATTTATTTTAGGCTCATGTTCCCAATAGTTTGTTAGCCATACATGCCTTTATTGTACCACATCCTCCTTTTTCAATTGAGGATGTAATTAGTATCACGCTTTTTTCTGAATTTTAAAACTATGGAAACGCCCATCAGACACAATGTTAAACCCCTGGGTCAGATGTGGAGAAAGAACTGCTGCACTGCTTTACATCTCAGCACTGCCAGATACAAGTCAAGACACGAGGGTTGACAAGAAAAACATGTAGTAAACTATGCAGTTCATTTTTTTTTTTTTTTTAACTTTGTGGATGTTTTAGGAGTAAGGAAAGACACTCGCACATTTCTTAGATCTCAAGGGGACACATAATGGGTTTTAGCACACTGAATGTAAACAGAAGACAGTTTTAGGAATAGTTAGTTTAAAAAGGTAACTGATTTTTTTTGGAAACAAGCCACAGCATATTATTTGAAGCCAGTTTTAGTGTCACACCCATTTCATTTCCTTATCATGTAAGACCACTTCACATATTTGGGAGACAGGTATTTACATAAATGTGCCATCGGCTCTGTTCAAACTCAAGCCCATAACAATGCAATGATGCTGCAAATATTCTGTGATCCCACTGTATAAATTTCATGTTGTAAATATTTTTTTAAAGCAGTCTCAGTTTCCAGGGTTGTGTTTTATGGGACAGCTGGAGGATCTTTGGAAATGTGCTTAAGACCACACTAGCGGGGGCAGAAAAATGTGTGCGTTTCCTCTACACAGACTCTTCTCCCCCAGGCCACCGCACACAGATGCTGAAAATTTTGCTCAAGCAGAGCTATGATCCTTGTTTACAACTAAGAGCAATTATTCTCTCCGTCCTTATCCCCCTCAATTAACAGTAATGTTCCTCATTATGTTTTATTCTGTTTCGTTCAGTGCAAATCTGTAGTAGTTGGTTCACAATTAGACACAAACCAGTCTCTGAATGTTTCGCTCAATAGAGACTGAGGACGTTCTCTTTCTCATTAGGTCACCACCAACCCATCACTCGATGTTCGAAGCATGTGGTCCAGAGGGTAATGTGGAAAGGAAAGTGAATTTTTGTCCTAATGTGCATCTTTAATGGCCAGTTAGTGAAACACACAAGTGCATGCACTAATGTGTGGCTCCAGCCGCGGTGGGTGGTTTATATTCTCCGCACAGCACAGACTCCAACAATAGCAATTTATTCATGCAACTTGTATGAAAGCAAGGAAAACAAGAAAAGAGAAATCAAAACAGTGAAGTGTACACACATTCCGCTTCAGTTTGGTTCTTGTTGTCTTTGTTGTTTGGCTTTTAGTGTGGCTTGATCCAGCACATCTGCTCACTGGTTATGTGAAAATGTACAAAACTATCTGGGTCTATCTTATCACCAATGAGAGCATGGAGCATCATGGCAACTGGAGGCGAACATGGTAATGAGGTTGGCAACAACAGGGCTCCAGACTAACTTTTTGCATTGGTTGCACTGGTGCGCCTAACTTTTTTTTTTTTAGGTGCACCCAAATTTTTCACCTTTTTATCGCTCTCCATAACTTTCATATAATGTGAATGATTTTTAAACAAGAATAAGGTGTAGAGAAATGCTTGTCTTCATTTAAAGCACAATTATATATAAAAAGAAAAATAAAGTGTTTAAAGTGCTTCACTGAGCTGAAATTGAAACTAAATTTCAAACTAAAACACTAAGCAAAATAAAACATTTCCAAATAAAAGTTCGATACGAAACATTGTTGACCCGCTCACGAATGCACTATTTCCGTCCATATTCTGACCACACTCCTGACAGTACACGCAGTGCATTGCGTTACGTCCTTTGTTGTACCACAGCCAGGGAAATTGTTTCAGCCAGTCCTGTCTGAAGGAATATATTTTGTCCTTTTTTAATTTGGGTCTCGGAGCCGGGCTGTATCCCAGACTCGGATGTCTCCTCCTCTGGTTCCGAGTCTGATGCTGTCGCCGAAGGACCGGGGCTCGGCAATTTTGAAACACACACAATTTAGCGCGGTGAACAGGACCACAGCCAATCAGAGGCAAACACCCGCCCGAGCTCTGTCTCTTATTGGTTTAGAACATGATATGATCCTACCATGAGTGTGTGAGTTGGGTCACAGGAGAACACAGAGGGATTATTAGTCGCACTCTTCAGCCCTGAACAAGTTCACTTACTCTTACCTAGGCTTTGCACAAAGACTAAGTTATGTTTGACTTACTGCTTCTGCTGTGTCCGTGTGATACAATTTGGGCCACAGCGAACACGACTTGACACCAAATGAAATTAGCAAGCAAAACCAGTTCAGTAAAAGAGAAAGAAAGTATGGCAATCTGGATTTACACCGAGAATTAAGCAATCACTAAAACACTACATGTAAGTGCAGGAAGTAAAACTATCAATACCTGTGTTAATCAAATTTGATCTACATCATGTTCTTTAGAAAGGTAAACAACATCATACTACTCTTTCACTCAACCACATCCTGACAACTACATGGAAAGGCAGCCAAAAGAAACCCAGTAACGGAGGCGGTAAATGAAAAACCACTAAGATAATAATATCTTGTACTAGCTTATGTGCAGATGTTTGCAAAGCATTTCATTCCAACAGTATCAGCTCAGCAGTGGCTCTGAATATGTCAACAGATCTTGTTCTTACCCCGACCATTGTGAGGATGCGACTGATGGTCTTGGTGATGATCAGTGAGGTCTTTGCACGAGTCACCGCCACGTACAGCAGGTTCCACTCATCGTCAGGAATCTTATCTGAGCAAGGAAGAGGAGTATTCAAATATTTAACACTTTAGACTGCCTTCAAAGATAACTACTAACAAACAGGAAAGCAACAGCAAGACACAGCAGGTAATGAGCAGTCGGGACACAGATGCGGTTCCTCCTGTATAGGATAGGAGAAGAGTGCCTAGCAAAAGCTACAAAGTAAAATGATGTGTAAAAAAGGAAAGATGGGTTTGTCCAAAGAAACACACCGAAACTGAAGTCAGAATTGTAGCGCAGGTTGTGACTCGAAGAGGGAACCTTGCTGAAGTCATCAGAGACCATCACAGTGTCAAACTCCAAACCTTTAGCCTTGTGGACTGTTCCCAATATGAAGTCTGGAATAAAACAGCAAACATCACAGTCAAGAACATTATACAGTGGGAAGGAAAATTATTCCACACTACAAACTACATTTTAAAAAACATGAATGCATGGATCTGAAGAAATGTTCCTGGGTGAACGTAGTTACTCAAAATTCTATTTAATTATTTACTTTAACCAACTTAATGAGTGGAAAAGAGCGGAAACAGGAAAAAACCCTATTACTGGACCTGAGAGCGTTTGGACGTTATACAATG